GCCGATGTCCCCCCCCCCTCACTTCCTGCGGAACATCTCGGCGAAGATGCAGCCCACGCTCCACAGGTCCACGGGGGTGGCGTAGGCGGCCTGGAGCAGCACCTCCGGGGCACGGTACCACAGCGTCACCACCTGGGGGGGGGACACCAACCAGCCCCACGGTGACCCCCACCCCACGGCCACCAGCCCCAACTCCACGGCCAACCTGCTCCACAGCCACCCAGGACCCACAGCTCCTCGGCTTCATGGCCAACGTCACCCATGGCCACCAGGACCCACGGCCCACCGTGGCTTCATGGCCAACCCAACCTGTGGCCAACATGACCCATGGCCACCCAGATCCATACCCACCTGGGACTCACAACTCCTCGGCTTCATGGCCACCAGGACCCAGGGCCACCAGGACCCACAGCCCACCTATGACTCACAGGTCCTTTGCTTCATGACCAACCTGGGACCCACAGCTCCTCAGCCTCACGGCCACCCCAACCCATGGCCAACCAGCTCTTCTCCATCCCGAGACCCACATCTCCTCCCAGCCAACCCCACCGGCCTTTGGGCCCCACATCTCCCACCCTGCCCCGCCAGAAGGACGCACCACGGGGGTCAGGGCCATCTGGCAGCTGTAGATACGGGCCAGGCCGAAGTCGGCCAGTTTGACCTGCCCGTTACTGGTCACCAGGATGTTCTCGGGCTTCAGGTCCCGGTGGACGATGCAGTTGGAGTGGAGAAAGTCCAACCCCCGCAGGAACTGCCTCATCAGGTCCTGGGCAGGGGGGAGGGTGACAATGACAAACGTGGCCACCGTGTGGAGCTCGGTGGCCACCGGGGACCTCCCCCAACCTTGATGGTGTCGTGGGGCAAACCCGGGGGGGGCGCCTTGTCCAGAAAGGTCTTGAGATCCTGGTCCACGTGCTCGAAGACCAAGGTCACCTTGGTCTCCCGCTCGGTGCGGGCGGTGGCACAGACGTCCATCAGCCTGGGGACAGCGGGGGGGAGGCAATGGGGGGGGACACACACGAGGGGGTCAACAAGGGGGTCACAGCCCCCACCCGACTCCACCAGCCAGGAGATGCTAAGGTGGGAGGTGGTGGACCCCCATCTCCTGTCCCACCACCCCGCAGCCAGGACCAAGAGGTGGGAGGTGGCTCCTGTCACCCTCCACCCGTAGTTGTGGGGCAGGAGGTGTCACACCCCCGCCCCCTGCTTTGTCCCTCACCCCATGGCCATGGGGCAGAGCAGTGGGGCAGGGGATGGCCTGTCCTCCGCCCCCTGCCCCACAACCTTGTGATGAGCCCATGGGGCAGGAGATATTGGTCTCCCACCCCATGGCCACGGGGCAGGACCATGGGGTAAAGCCTTGGGACCCACATCTATGGGGCAGGAGAAGGCCTGTCCTTCACCCCCTGCCCCACAACGACCCCAGGGGCCAGGAGACCCCCCCCTCTTTTCAACCCCCAACCCTGATGGAACCGGAGCCGGTGCCTTCCCCCCATCCCTGCCATGGGGCTGGGGGAGGGTGGGGTGGGGCGGCACTATGGGGCAGGGCCGTGGGGGGGGTCTCACCGCACGATGTTGGGGTGGTCGAAGTGCTCCAGGCGCTTGAGGAGGGCGACCTCGCGGACGGCGCTGAGGGGGAGCCCGTTCTCCGTCCCCGTCACCCGCACGTTCTTCAGGGCCACGAAGCGGCCGCTGGCCCGGTCCCGCGCCTTGTACACCGTCCCGTAGGCCCCCACCCCGATCTCTGCCACCGGCTCGTACTGCGCCATCCTGCCCCACGGCAACCCACAGCGACCCATAGCGAGACATCCCCCCCCCCCAGAACTCACAGAGACACCCCC